TGGGTCTAGTGAATTTTCTACAAGGCGGTGGACCATTTCCGTTTGCTCCCTCATTAGTGCAAGCAGCGTTTGAGTCGCCTGCTGGTCTCCCTGCCACCACGTCTCCTCCCGTTCACTGTGTGATCGCTGGTATTGCGACATGTTCTCCCTCCACTGGGTCTGCTGTGGCGCCTCGGCTTGGGAGCAGCCCATAAGTTCTGAGAACATCTCGTCCCGTGTCCTTTTCTTTCGTCACCTGATCTGCGCCAGCCTCTGGGAGGGGGATGCCGGGGTAGCTCGGGAGACACTCGCAGCTGTGGGATGGGAAAAAGGGAGTGAATTCCTCACAAAGATACAGTTTTGCAAATAATGAATATAGTCTTTCTCGGTGAACAAGACCATGCACAGTACCTATCACATGCGCACTCAATACAAGGTCAAATTTTTGGCCTTCCCATTGAGTGCCTGGAGTCTTGCTGTACAGATCACACAAGTGGGGCCGGACAACGGAATTCGGCTAGCAGGCGGACATGGTAAGCCGTAGACTTTTGGCTGCTTAAAGCTTAATTTATAGCAGTGCCCTCCTTTCACGTTCCAAGCAATGCTCCTAGCGTTGGCCAGTTCCTGCTGCCGGCAATCCAGCCAGCATGAACTCTGCCCTTGTCCCTCCCCTCTCGCGGCTGTCCCCGGGAAAGTTCCCTGCATGCTGCCCCTGTCCCGCCTCCACCGCGTGGCTGTAAACCGCTGGTTACAGTTATGTAAAGGAACGGGCAATCAGTCCCAATACTAACATTCCCCTAATTCACAGCAGGTCACCATGAGTGATATCACTCTGATGAGGATTTCGGAGACAGAGAAAGACCGCATGCTGCGTGAATGCCAGCAAACACCAGGGCCGTATGCCGCCATGCTTTGCGAGGCAATGATCCCAGAGTACTTGCTGCTAGCCTGGCGCGGAAAAATTTCCTACCAGGGAGGACGCAATAAGGCCGCTCTCCCCAGGAACCTGATGCAAAGGCTTTCACAGTACCTCCAGGAGAACTTCCTGGAGATGTCCCAGGAGGATTTCTGCTCTATCCCCGGACATATTGACAGAACTTTCCAGTAGCTGCACTGGCAAGGACTAAAAACTAAAGTGCCTAGGGCAAACTAATCATGAAAAACCCATTGTTAAGATACCATTCCTATTCTGTTCAAAATAAATGTTTAACACACTTACCTACTGATCCTTCCCCTGATTCACGGTCCGGGTTACCGCCTTGGAAGGGTTGGTAGGGGATCTCCGTGAGGGTGATGAAGAGATCCTGACTGTCGGGGAAATCAGCGTTGAAAGCGCTGTCGACTGCCTCGTCCTCCTCATCTCCTTCCTCATCCTAATATTCAGCAGTCCCTTTGTCACACAGTTGCACAGCAACTGTGGGGACACTGACAGAGAACGCAGGTTAAGCACCACATTTGAATTCAAGTCGGCTAACCTGCTGCTTATGGCATTCCTGAAGGCAGATATTCAATTAGGCCGACTCTGGTGTGCAAACCTTTGGTTGACATTAGCAGCTCTTATTTATTTTGTTAATATTCCGTGTGATTGCACTGAATTGTCTGGGGGAGCAGTCCAACATTTATACCCCAATTAAAGATGAACATACATCTTTTTCTCGACAGTAAATCGCAGCGGCAGTCCATGCAGAACATCCTTGCAATGGGACCTTGAGCCATCGTGGCTCTTTAGTATTTGTGTCACAAAAGCAGCTAGACGGTTCAACGGTCATCGGGAGGCCACTGCGCTTGGTGCTGTACAAACACGTAGTAAAAGGCAGTCCCTGCCCCAAAGAGCTCACAGTCTGAAACAGACAAGGTAAACAGAGGCATCTGAAATGACTTTCCCAACATTTTACAGCAGCTCAGAACCAGGGCTAGAACTCAGGTCTCTTGAATGCATGA